TCCCCCCCCCCCCCCCCCCCCCCCCTCCCCCCTGTGAGAGAAGTGCAACCGCTCTACTGTCTCAGCTCAAATCATCTTTCAATATCATGCGCAGCGTGTGGCCGCCTTTGTGATATAACAGGCAAGCTCCATTGAATTGAAATGTCCATTTTGAATTGGTATTTTCATTGAGTGTTCACGCCCGCGCTCCGTACAAAGGACGGGGCGCCCAAGTAGCGCTAAGCAGTGTTTCCGATGCATGCCTACATTTCACAAAGCAAAGGAGAAAAACAACAACAACAACAAAGAAAATCTCTAGGACTTGCCAAGTTTGTGGCGGGCGACTGGGGGACATGGACCAATCTGGTCATCTTTTCAAGTTCCGCTCAGCGGAAGAACACAGGTTGACCAAAAGGGTGCAGAGTGAAGGCCGCACGGCAGGCCATCAATCAATCAGAGGCCTGCGCGAGCAGAAGAAGCTGTTCTGCAGCTTCAAGGTCGGCATTGCCCTTGGCTTTGGTGTTGGCGCGTTTGGTAGGGGGCCGCCCCCGTGCTGCAGTCCCGCTCGAGTCGCCGGCAGCAGTGCGCCCCTTACCATTTTTCCGAGGGCCCGGTGCTGGCTTGGCGGTGGAGGCAGAGACGGGCGGTGAGGCTGAGGAGCCCTCAGAGGTAGTGCTTGGTAGAGCCGATGTTTTTGGCTTGCTCGCACTTGTCTTACGCGGCTTGCTCGTGCCTAGGGCATGATCACTGGTAGTCGTGGAAGGTTGGGTAACAGTGGAAGTCGCACCCGTTGCCGCGGCCGCAGAACCCGAATCGCGGCGCGAGCTCGTCGCTGATGCACTCCCGTCGGCGGCTTCGTCCTTTCCAGACACCCAGAGCTGCTGAGGAGGGGACTCTGGGTGACTCACGTGGGTAGTTTGGGCTGGTCGTCGCAAAGGGACCACCTCCAAGCCCTCGAGCACATCAGCAGAGATGGCGGGTTCTATTGGTGCCAACAGGGGACACATGGCGCAGAACCACAAAATGGAATGGCAAGCGATCCTCAAGAGCACATGAGTCAAGCCTCTGTCGTTCAAAGGGATGCGAGTTGTGGCAAACACGAAGCAACGCCAAAACAAGCCGATTTGTGCTGGAAAAAACAAGGAAAAGAAGAAGAAGAAGAAGAAAAAAAACATTGAGCAGCCTTGGCTATGAAAGTGGCAGGAAACGTACGGAGCTCGCCTTTCCAGGCAGGCTTGAAAGTTCGCGGAAGAAAGTCGTAGCCAATGGTGGCCAGGCCCCGCATGAGCGCAGCGCGCACGCGCCGTTGATGGGGCATGGGATTGGCGGAGAAGAGTCGGCTGATGGGGATGGAGGTTCCGCCGGCTCGCTTCACCAAGTGGCTCAGTTGGCCTACAAGCAGGTGGGTAAAGGTAAGACAAAGTAGTAACACGGGACCCCGAGCACAGGGCTTGTTGTCAGTAGCACAAACGATGACAGACAACTGCTTGCATTTCGACGTACGCTCAAACATGTCCGAGGGCTTGGTCATGGTGCCATCTTTATCAATAGGCAGGTCGAAGAGGAGGCTCAGGGGTTCGCGGCTGACGAGGAAGCTCAATGTATTGGAAAACACATTGGGCTGTTGAGGAAAGGCCCCGAAGCAGACACGGTGAGGATAATGATGGGAACAGAGAGTTGAAAACAAGGGGGTAGCGGATAAACAAACACGTCGGGCCTGGGCCCGAGCCGCAGCAAGACGCAACGACCACGGCGCCTGATGCTCCTGTGTGTACGTACCTCGTCGTCTTGCAGACTGGCGAGAAAGTTGGCAAAGTATTGTGTGGCAGAGCGTGAGGCTTGGGTGAGGTAGTCGCGCATGGAGCAGACCTGGCCGTTGCTCTTGTTTGTTCGGAAACTGAGGTCAAAGTGGGCTTGGCGGCCATCACGGGCGGTAAACTGCAGCTGCACGCCATAGGGGGGTAGGGCGGAAAACGCGGCGCGAAAGTGCTCTCGTAGATCGCGACGCTGACCGTCCCAGACCAAGTAAACGTCCCGAACGTCTACGTGCATTTGAAAATACGACGCGCAGAATCGGGTGAGAGATGCGGGAAGGTGTGGGAGGCTCGGGCGAGCGTCGGATCCTTTGCGTTTGCTGCGAGCCACCACAGAACGTACTGGTGTCGCGAAGCCAATGATGGACAATGAACAAGAGCGTCACACGTTTGAGATCCCAACTGCCGTCGGGTTTTCGCAGCCAAGCAGCGCCTGAACTGGGCTCAAGATCGGCCATCTTGTTTTTTGAAGAAGGTACACAACGTTGTCCCGGTGGCGATCAGTCGTTGCCCATTGCCTCTCCGAGAAACGCCTACTAAGGAGCGCAAAAAAAAAAAAAAAGGTCGGGTACGGATGAGGGCTGCATATGAAGCCAGCAAGGGCTCTTGAGTCTCTACACCAACTCCTTCGAAAACAGCCAAGAGAAAAGAGAAAAGAGAAGAGGAAGAAGCACGGTCAAGGCCTGTTACCTTCAGCTGCACGGCGTACTGGTAATTGTTGAACGCGACACGGGCAGGGTCTGCGGTTGCCGAACGTGTGATATGAGAGAGAGAGAGAGAGAGAGAGAGAGAGAGAGAGAGAGAGAGAGAGAGAGAGAGAGAGAGAGAGGAAAAAAAAGAAAAAAATCGCACAAAGAGAACAAAAGTGCGTCCTTACAAGAATCTCTCACCTTGGACACGAAAGACGTTTTTGGTCGCAAAAGGCGGCGGTGGGGTGTTAGTGGGTATTGTGGTCAAGAGGCCAAAAAGGTTGTGGTCAACGGCGGTGGTGGGGGAGAGTCTAAGCATGGGGAGGGGAGGGTTGATGGCATGTGAGAGGCACAGGTCATCCATCGTCGGCTCTTGAGGGAACCAACCAACAACAACAACAATAACAAGCAAAACGAAGAACAACCATGGGCAGTCGAGTTCTGGGGAGCTGCTTCTCCCCAAAACTGGACAAGCGGTGGGTGGGATGTGGTGGGCAAGCGAGTACTGGGTCGAGATGGCGCGCAAGCAACGCATGGGCTTGTGTCAGGCATTGGTCGTTGGAGCGGGGCACGAGCAGTTTACAAGCATGAAGCGCAAACGGCAGTGCGTTTGTAAACTCGTCAATCGCGCGATCGGGATGCGCAAGCGAGTGTGTTCTGGATGGGAACAATGATGGAGTAGTGGCACCGCCAAACGATAACATAGACACGTGAATTCTCACCCTATTCGGTGTTCAAATCTTGTCGAACCACCCGTCCCGACTGCCGTTTGACCTTTCAGCAAAATCACAGAGAGAGAGAGAGACAGAGAGAGAGAGAGAGAGAGAGAGACAGAGAGAGAGAGAGAGAGGGGGAGGCAGAGAGAGAGAGAGAGAGAGAGAGAGAGAGAGAGAGAGAGAGAGAGAGAGAGAGAGAGAGAGAGAGAGAGAGAGAGAGAGAGAGAGAGAGAGAGAGAGAGAGAGAGAGAGAGAGAGAGAGAGATCAACATTCAAACCCAAAGAGACGAAAAGAGAGAGATGCTCAATTCGATCAACTTAAGAGATGTTGTCATGTGTGTGCATCCCTTACCTTCAAAAGTACAGCTTGAGAAGAGAGATTATGGCCAACTACAACGTTTCAGAGATAGAAAGCGAGCTAACGCAGAGACGATCAGCACAGCACCCCATCATCACACGCATCAAACCATTCTCAAGGCAAACCCAACGTACTCGTAACATACCCTCACATCTGCACAACATTTGCTTGAGTGGGTTAGGCGTACCGCGTGGGTCTAAAGTGCCACAGTGGTTACACATTCATTCGAAAGAGAGAGCGAGTGAGGGAAGCGCGCGTACATATGGCAGCGGGGTCGTGGTGGGTCGTGTACATATGGCAGCGGGGTCGTGGTGGGTCGTGGTGGGCGGGTGCTGCTCGGGAAACATTGGTTTAGGTAGATGCGATGGCAGGTCGCAAAGCATAGTCCATCAGGTGGTGCGATGATGTGGCACGTCGTTTTGCTCTGACTCCTCATCTTTCCACACATTGCGCAACACTATGCCGTTTTGCTGTAACCGTTATGTGTGTGTGTGTGTGTGTGTGTGTGTGTGTGTGTTCAGCGCATTTTTTTCGCTGGTGAGAGCTTCTCTCTCTCTCGCTCTCCCTCTCTGTCGCGATCAGCCCGTCGTGCCCTCTCTTTCCCTCTCCCCCACC